AGGTCCCTTCCAGCCTTAATGTCTATGAAATCTACAAATGACCAGCTTGGACAGGGGCAGCAATCAAGGGCAGGGGTCTGGGAGGGGTAATAGGTTAAGTGCAAGGACCCTAGCATCTGCTGATGAAAGAGCTGGGACCTAGGCCTGGTCCTGTGTCCTGACCACGGTATCATTCAATGTGTTTGTTAACGATTTGGATGGTGGCATAGAAAGCTTCAAGTCTGCAGACAGCGTGAAACTGGGGGGGATGGTGAACACGGTGGAGAATTTGAGAGCAATTCAGAAGGCTCTCGACCGATAGGAAAGCTGAGCTAGAGCTGACCGGATGGAGTTCAATGCGGACAAATGAAGGGGCTGCATCTCTGGGGGAGTAATTGAAAACACAGATGCAAAATGGGGGACACTGGGCTGGATGCCAGTTCGAGGGAAAAGGACTTGAGAGTCTTGGGAGACCACAGGCTCAATATGAGTCTGCACTACGATGCAGCTGCACAAAAGGCAAATGGGGTTTGGCAAATGGGGTTTGGGCTCCATCAATAGAAGCATTCAGTGCAATTTGCAGGAGGTGATAGTGTCTCTCTACCCAGCCTCATCCGTGTATGGTGTGCAGTTCGGGGCGCCGCATTTTAAAAAGGATGTGGCGTAGTTTGAGAGGGTCCAGAGGTAGCAACAAAGATGATCAAAATGATCAAGGCCTTGGAAGATGAATCATATGAGGAGAGGCCAAAGGTGCTAGGCAGATTCAGCTGCTGGAAAGGCACTTAAGAAGGGACCTGATACCAGTCTTCAAGTACTTGAAGGGTTGCTATAGAGAAGAGGGAAAGCAGCTTTTTCTTTCTTGTTGCATAGAGGACATAAGCTAATGGCTTGAAGCTGCAGCAAGGTGGGTTTAGACTGGATATCTGGAAACTTCTTCACTGCTAGAAGAGACACCTAGGGAAGGGGTGTTCAAGCAGACATTGCACAGCTGGGGATGTTCTAGGCCTGTTTGTACCATGGGTATTTCCCAGGTTTCTGGGCTTTGCTAGGTGCTCCCATCCCACCTCCTTCCTTCTTCTGCTATATGTGTCAGGGTGTTTCTCAAGCATTGGGTGTTGGCTACTGCTAAGGCTGGGAACTTTGACCGGGCTGTGCCGATAATCCTGCTAGGAGCAAAGCTGGAGGGTCCTGGCTAGAGGGTCTTGCCCCTCCACTCAGAGTCAGACCCACACCATATTTGGGGTCAGGAAGGAATCTGACTCCCTGGTCAGACTGAGGGGTTTTGCCTTCCTCTGGACTCTACCTGGGACCTCTTGAGCATATACTGGCAACATTTCATAGAAGCAAGAAGTTGGCTGCTGCGATCCCCCTGCTTTACCTGTGGCACGTTCGAGTGTTAGGTCTGTTGTGCCAGGGTTGAGGGCAGTCTTATGTACATTTGACATTATGGCTGTCTGGGATGGTTTGGACAGGCCTGATCCTGCCTCCATCAGAGGGTTGGACTAGATGTGACCTCTGGAGTTCCCTTCCAGCCCCACTTCTCTATGTCTCTATGACCACTGATGCTCACGGCTTCTTCCTGCGTGCTGGATGCAGCAAGCTGGTTTCTGGGTACACGGGCAGCTGGCATGCAGAGTCCATGCAGGGATCAGGTGCTGGTATAACAAGTCATGGGGGCCTGAGCCACAGCTCGAGTGATACGGCACTGGGGGTGCAGATAACATGGCAGCAAAACTGCCACACACGGGCACAAGGTTTCCAGGGGCTTGTGCTCCTGGTAGTGGCTTGCCAACTGTGTGCAAGGGAAGATGAGGCCACACGTCAACTGGAGCTGTCCTGGGTGAGAAGGGCTTGCTGACGTGTCTCGCATCCATCCTGCCCCGCATCTCGGAGCTTGAAACCAGGATCTCAAAACATTTTTCCTGCTTTGCTTCCACTGGTATCTGCTAAAGGTTTGCCCACAGCACCCAGGAGTGGAGCGCAGCAGCCAGATTTATCAGCAAATTAATACAAATTTTAAAAAGTCTCCATAAAGAAGAGCAGAGTCCTCCTGTACCTCTTGTCTATTGTGCTCCCTGTCGCACATGGCTTTTGTGGCTTGCATGGAGGAGTAACATCTTCCCTCCACAGTCTTTTTTCTTGTCCCTTCAGTCTCTCTGCCCCAGTAACGTTCCCTCTTCTGGCGACAGTCGGAGAATACAAAACCGGGCAGATTTCATCTGCTTCCATCCGGACCATCCTACACCTTCCCTTCCCAGGCCTGCTCTCCGCTCGGTGCTGGTAACATGGGACACCTGAGTAAAAGCTGTGTAACCATTTTTTTTTTCATACAAAGGTCACAGGAAGGCAAAACAGATCCTGTGAAGTTCTGGATGGATTTCCTGAATGTCTCTATTTATTTGAGGTAGATCAGGCATATAGTTGGAGATGAATTTTGGGCATAAAGATGGCTTCTTGTGAAATGTGGCTTGCATTTAGCAAATATTAAATGATGGAGGTGCAAATGAGTCTTGATACCATGGTGCAAGGGTGGTGTGTATTACTGGCTTTGTTCATTTTTGCACATATCCATTTCCCCAGTATGTAGGCTCTCTTGTTCTGGTATGGTCTTGCATGTCTAGGCAGAGCTATTACAGCATTGGGAGGGTTTGTGTCTGCAGGGAAAGAAACCCCAAGAGCAGAAATATTAATGTCGGCAAAGACGCATCAAAAAGTGAAGGGTGGTGCTGGTCTCCCCACACATTGCCCCAAAGGGGACCCACAACTTTGACATGCCTATGCTGCACTAGGTATCAAAGCCATCATATGCCAGGCTTTGTAGGACATAACACCAACCTAGGGTCCGCTGCCCAACAAAAGCAGAGGAGTGGGAAGAACATGTAGGGATGTGTCAGGACAGCCAAGCTCTGGCAATCCCCAGCTGTTTCACTGGCCAGCACTACTTTGAGCTCCCCCGAAATGTGAGAGTCATTGACCCTGTGACCTGAAGGCCTCAGAGAGGAGGAGAAGGTCTCTGGGTTTCCAGGGATAAAGGTTGTAGCTGAGTTGGTCTAAAAGTACAAGCAGCCAGTGTGGCAGAACTAATATCGTTTCTTAGACCAACAAGACAGTTGCAAACAAAGTTTTGCTTTATTTGCAAGCTTTCAGGCACATGTGCCCTTCCTCAGGCATAGGAGACTGCAAAGATTGTAAAATTTTCTCCCAGGTAGAAATGAAAATTGATATTGTACAGGAGAGCTGGAGGGTGGTGGAAAGAAGTACCATTCAACATCCTGCTTGCCATCAGACACCTCTGAGGTGAATAGACTGCTCCAACTTGTATGCAAGCCTATTTTGCATAAAATGAACTTTTCCAGCCAGGAAAACTTCCACCACCCTCCAGCTCTCCTGTACAATACCAATTTTCATTTCTACCTGGGAGAAATTTTACACTCTTTGCATTCTCCTATGCCTGAGGAAGGGCACGTGTGCCTGAAAACTTGCAAATAAAGTAAGTTTTCTTTGCAACTGTCTAGCTGGTCTAAGAAAAGATATTGCCTCTACCATGCTGAATCTGGGTTTCCAGTGCACCTAAAAATTGACTTCTGTCACTGCCAGGCAGACTGACTTGCAACTGGGGGTCTCCTGCACTGCAAAGTGCAGGTAATTTGTAGTGTATCCTAGCTGGTGCAGAGAAGGCCTGAGGGCAGGGGTCTGTATTCTAGTTCCTCCTATAGGCTAAGCTCTGTGTTGCCACATCTTTATCACTGTTGCTATCGGGGCTGGCATGTGCTATGTTCAGCCTTTCCATCGGCTGTGCAGACATAACCCAAGTGCTTCCTGCTGAGAGACAGGCAAGCCCTGGCTTTGCTGTCTAATAATTCATGGTCTAACAGGCCACTTCCGACATTGTGTATGTTGGTGGCTGATTTGCAGGCAGGAAAAAGAGCCCTGTGAGATAAAGAATTGCCCCAAGCTCCGGTGGGTTGGGGAAGTGGGAAAACGAGCAGATCCCACAAGCTATCTTCTGCTCCATGAGACATTGTCATGCATGTGAGCTGGCCCCTGGGTCTATCCTAGCCATGACTTGAAACCTAGCTTGTTTCCATGGAATCTGGGGCCTGGTTTTTCCGACATCAGGGCACTTCCACGTCCAGCCCCCACCTCCCCTGCACTCTCCTCCCAGGGCCTTGCTGGCTTAAGTGTGCCGCAGGGCTGCTGTTCTTGGAGTGCGCAAGGCCATAATGAGATGCAAACGCCTCTCACCCCGGGGGGCATTTCTTCGGCTTGGTCCACGTGCTTCTTATTGTGATGCGGGGATGTTGTGGTTCCCTTGCACATCTTCTCATCGTCTGTCTGCATGGCAGCCTGCAGGGAAAGGAGCGGGGCAGTCAGGAGCCATGGCACTGAGCAGCCTGGAGGAGGGCGCATGGCTCTCTCAAGTTCTCTGGTCCTCACCAAAGTTGCTGTCGCTAGGGCTAGGATGTCACCCTAGTCTAGTCATTGCTGCCTCGCTGCTTCCCAGGTCAGGAAAGGGAGTGGGTGCTTTCACATGCAAGGAGCTGGGGTCATCCCCTGCCACTTTGCACACCGTACTCTCCTGTGGAGCTGGTGGCCTCCTCCCCACTGGCTGCGCACCGCGGGCCAAGAGGATTTGGCCACCCATGAACGCAAGGGAAACCTGACCCTTGTTTAGTGATCTGGTAGGATGGAAGGAATATGCTAGCTCCTTGGCAGACCCTCCCAGTGTGTGTGTGTGTGCATGTGTGTGTCTGTGCATGCTGGGGTGCCGTTCCTGGGTGGTGCAGTTGCCCCTGGACCCCTGGTAGAGGGCTGTGCTGGGATCAGATGGGGAGAGGACAGAGCTATGCTGTAGGCGTGCTGTCCCGGGCCCTGGGGTGCCCAGATTTGCTCTGTGGGGCTGATGCTCTGCCCTTTGCAGTCTCCTTGATGTTCTTGGCATGGACCTGGCCTGCCATGTTGAAGAACCAGTGGCTGCGGTCACAGCGCTGCCCTGGTAATTGTTATTCCCTCCCAAATCAGCAATCCTGTCCTCCCCCAATTCTGAGTTTACCCCCACCAGTCTGGAGAAGGAGGCATGTATCAGATAGATGTGCAGCCCAAGGGCTTGGGTCCTACCTGGTTCTGGGGTTGGACAGTGGCATAGATGGTCATGGGGTTCTCATTGTTCACAGCGTCATTCCCTTGTGACCTTTCTGGCTTCTTGGGAGCCTAAAGAAGAACCAGAATCCCCCCCCACCCCAGCCAAAACACCCATTAACGATGATCTTTGGGGAAGTTTGCAGCACAGGTGAGGATGGGATGGGCCACGGTACTAACGAAGGAGGCCAAGGCCTGGGGGAAGCCTGGCCAGGGTGCTGGGGTGGATGCTGGGTGCGAGACCCCACGCAGCTCAGGTCGAGGCCTGGTTCTGTTAGCTTGGCCCCTTTGCAATGGGAAAGCAGGGTGGCAGCAAAACATGACATTATGTTCAAGAGCCCCAGGCTTTTCCATTGCTGGGGCCAAGGGCTACCTGCTGCTCTGCCCAGGAATTTTCCAAAAAGGAGCTCATGAAAGCTTCCCGGAGGCTGCCACCACTAGGGAGAGCTCTGGCGTGGCTGGCATCTCCACCCAAGTTCATGGCTGGCATCCGCCCATCCTTGCCATTGCTCCGGCTGTGTCTCCCCAACCTGTTTGCCTGGTCTTGATTCCCCTGCAAAGACTCACCGAAGGATGAAAGCCGACTTGAGCGTAAAGCGTGGTGCTTTGTTGCTGTGCCTCTGCAAAGAGAAAGAAAGCAAAGTATGAGTGGAGCAGGCTCTGCTGCAGGTGGGTGCAAGGGAAAGGGGCCCTAGCTTCCTTGCGTGGGTTGGATTTGCTGTCCTCCCTGGGCCCAGCTCTGCCCACCAGCTCTCGCAGTCGGGCTGGGGATGGAAGTGAGGAGAGGAAGTGTGCCTCACTGCAGGTAACTGTTTTGTTCCAATACCTGCTGCACTGCGCATGAGTTCCTCCGTGGCCACGTGACACAGCACACGTGAGCGTCAGTTTTCATGCTCGTACGTGACCTGGCTAGGTCTTGACCCCAGCGTCTGCCTCCTTCATTTTTCTTTGCATTTTCAGTTTGACATCCAAGGGCTTTTATCTTTTCTCTCTCACTTTCAGCCCTAAACAGTTGTGCTGTGAAAACGGTTGTGGGGCTGGCCACACGGATGGGAACACAGTTTCCCCTAAGTGTGATCTTCCTTGTGGGCTGCTGTGCAGTTCTGAGTAGCAGCCACATCCCCCCTCTGAGGTAGCTGAATGACAGTAGTGGGGAAAGAAATGCCTGGGGTGTAGCTAGCCTGGGTCAACTGGCTGTAGTTCACACTGAAATCCTTCATCTATTCCAGGATGCAGGTTGTAGCCATGCTGGTGTGCAGGCAAAAATAATCAAAACTCTTGGGGAGGTGATATCTTTTATTAGACCAGTTAGATATTGCAAAAAAATGTTTTTATTTGCAAGCTTTCAGGGACATGCACCCTTCCTCAGACATAGGAGAGTGCAAAGATTGTAAAATTTCTCTTCCAGGTGGAAGGGCACATGTGCTCAAAAGCTTGCAAATAGATAGCTGCAAAACAATTTTTTTATTTGCAAGCTTTTGGGCACACGCACACTTCCGTCTGGGAGAAATTTTACAGTCCTTGCATTTTCCTATGCCTGAGGAAGGGCGCGTGTGCCCAAAAGCTTGCAAATATATATATTTATTTTTTGCAACTATCTAGTTAGTCTAATAAAAGAGATCACCTGCTTAGGAGTTCTGGCTATTTTCACCTATTCAAATCACCCAAGTCAACTGTTCATGAAAGCAGCTTTTTATTGTAGGAAATGTCAGCTTTGTTTGGTGCCCATCTACAAGAGTTGGTTTCAAAAGGGTGTGGAAGAGGAAACGAGATATACATTTTATTATCTACAGAGGCAGCCTGATAATGCATAGTGGGTTAAAAATGTGGCAACAGTTTCTTCCTTGCTCTGCTCTTCTTCCATTTAGCTTCTCAGATGCTCATGGAATCAGGGAAGAATCAGACTAGTCAGACCCTCAGGAGCTCACGTCTAGCGTAACTCAGAATCAGCCCCATCTAAACCGCCCTAGACAAAGGTTTGTCTCCTCTCATCTATTCTTTAAAAATGCCATGAACAAGCACAATTACCCTGCGCAGTGCCAGGAACTTCATCTTGCTCCAGGTATAACAGGGAACAAGAGCACTGCCAATGTCCTGCCCCTGTAGGACAAGGGATTGTGTCCAGAATGGCCGGAAACTGCAAAACTGCCTGCTTAGCCCCTGCTGATAGCAAGTGTCTGACCCAGAGGCTTCTTCAAAGTGGGAGCCACATGTGTGAAGCAGTTGTGTTTCTTCTGATGCTCCATGTCTCCCCGTCCTGCCTTGCAAGAGTGAGGCAAAGGGGTCAGCTTTGCTCTTGTCTTCAGAAGCAGCTGCATGAAAACGCTTGTTCTTGCTGAAAGCCGCGTGGTTCTGATTCTTCCGTGGCTCCACGAAACCCACCCTTAATTTCCAATAAGTCACTGTGCATGGAACAAGCCTGCTGTGTAAATCTCCGTTGCATCTCTCCAGTCTTTCCCTTTAGTCAGGGAGAGGGAAAAAACCCCAAACCCCTCTCCCTAGTCCCTTTGCCGTCTGTAAACTCCTTATGGCTTCCCAGTCCTGTCCTCTGATGGCTTTTTTTTTTGTCTGCGAGAGCTGTCTCTTTTCAGTTGGTGCCTTTTATACCGGATGGAAAGAAAATAGAAAGCAAGAAGAGATGAAGAGCCTTGGTGGGAGGATGCTGTGCAACATGCTGCAGTCTCCTGTGCAGGCTGGTTGTCCGCTGAGCTGTGCAGCTTTGCAGAAACAGAACAGCACCTGCTTCATAACCAGCTCCACCTGGGCATTAGGCCAGGGCCCTGCCTTCCTGGCCTGGCCACAGCTTTTGCATTCATCTCTCTAGTACTGAGCAGGGCTGGTAGCTCAGGCCCCACAGCTCACTCTTCAGGCCTCTGTGTGTCCAGTGAAAGCTGGGAGGTTGGAGCTGAGGGCTGTCAAGGGGGGAGGAGTGCCTGGCAGGGAAAGCAGGGAGCCTCCAGGCCTTGGGTGGGGCAAAGCAGAGATAAGAGGAGTTGCAAGGGGGCACAGCCAGTGGGTGCCGGCTGAGATGGGGGAGCTGATGGGGGCAGTGTCATCTCCACGCAGAAGCAAATGCACCCTGGAACGAGAAACCTCCAAGCACTGAGAGCATTTTTAATCTACAAGATGCTCCAAGCTTGTTATAGCTCATGGGACAAGGCTGAGCTGCTGGCTCCAGCTGTGCCCAAGCAGGAAGTTGCTGGGCACAGTTCCCTGGGTTTTGGTTCCACCTCTTTCCTCCTGCACTTGTGCAGCACCTGACACTGCCCGACCTTGACTGGAGCTGTAGGGGCTACTGCAATGGCAGCTGGTAAGACTAGAGGGCTGCAACGCTCCTGTCCAGCCTCAGACTCTGTTTCTTCCAAATTTGCACAGGGACAAGGGCTTGAACATTAGATTTTAACAGTAAAACATGCTGTGTGTGTGTGTGGTAGGGGGGGAGGCTGGGGATGAGAAGAGTCCATGGAGAGGGTTTTGGGCGGGGCAAGGGGAAGAGGGATATAATCTTACCTTTTTCATTCTCCTCTTTGAGGTTCAGATGTGCACCTGAGATGGAAAGAAAAGGCAGAGGTCAGATAGAGCACAGAGACAGCCCAAAGCAAGGCCACCTTTCTGCAGGGTCAGATATTTGGGACCATCTCCAACTCCACCCTGCACTACCCCTTGCCTAGTCACCCTCCCCTCCCCCCACAACCTTGAGCTAAAGGGGAAATGTGGATGGCAATAAGGGAAGTGGAAGAGGCCCAGCTGCAGCTATTCTGCTCGAGAATAACTTGAACCAATGCTGAAAGGCGCTGGAGATCAGCAGCAGTGTCCTCTGGGATTGCAAAGCCCAGCCCAGGACTTACTAGCCTGGCTCTTGGTGTCCTGGGCCTTTTGCTTCTGGTCCTAAAGGAGATGCAAACAGCTCCTTCATCCCCATGCTTCACTCTAGGACCAGCAGAACGAGCCTCCCCACATGGGAGCAAAGGGGCAGTGGGGTTGGGGCTCTGGCTGAAATGTCTTGTCTGCAGCTGGTGAGTGGAGGGGGGCCACGTAGGATGCTGCTGCCCTTTGCAAGCATAGCAGCAGCATTGCTTGGTCACAAGGCCTGCTGGAGCGCTGGGCCTTTGTAGTGACAAGGCAGCCCAGTAAGGCCCCAGGGGCAAGGACCTGCCCTTTGTTAACAAGTCTGCAGTCATGGGCACTTGTGCTAACCAGCCGCACCACACCTGGGTAGTTCCTTACCTTTCTTCTTCCTCCTGTACCATATGAGAGCAACGCTCACTAGGATGACAGCAACAATTAGAGCACAGACAATGGCAGCGATGGAAGAGGAACTCCCTTAAAACAGAAAACCCATAGTTCAGCGACACAGAAGAAAATGGTCCTGATCTGCAGCAGAAAAGCACATTCCCCAGCCCCCAAGCAGGACAGAGGTGGGGCTGCGAGCTGGCTTTCGATACCCTGTCCCCAGGAGCCATCAGTAACTTGCAGAATCCCTTCCCCTGCCTACAGAGACCCAAGCGGCCGGTGGCTGACTCACGGGGCTGGAGAGGTCTACAAATAACATGTGCACTTCCATCGTTAGTGGACAGGGCATGGTTAGCTGAAGGGAAAGCTCACCTTTATTGCACAAACTGTTTTTTTTTAAAGAAATGTTTCATATTTCAAGCCAAATCAGCCAAATAAAGTCCAAACCTTTGGGTCAGTCCAGAACCATAAGTGGCCCTACAACCAGCAAACATCCTCCACCCCCACCAGGGGCTTCAGATATTTCTAATGTCTTTTGGCAGGCATCCTATGTGCAGGCCCAAGCCTGGAGGCTTGGGGTTCAGATGCCCCCAAGTTTCGCCTGCCCTCAGCCATGGGTGAAGGAGCAAGCTAGGGAGGAGCCTCCCATTTCCATAAAGTGAGCATTAAGCCCCAACACCTCAGTGGGTACTAAACTACGCCAGATGAACAGTTATCCCTGGGAACGCTTAAGGAAAACTACCTTCTTGACCCAGATATGTGGTGTTTCCCCTGCCAAGTAAGGGCCAACCAAAAGTGCCTTTATTGCACGAACAAGTTTAATGCCATAATTTGAACCTCTGACTGTTGGGGCCAATGCGTGTTTGAGCATACTGGTGTCATACAGGTGTCAGTGGGCTTAGGGTGAGCAGTGATGGGGAAAGCACACAGCGCTGGTGGTATTTCACTTTGAGCTTAGCAGACATGAGGAAGGAGTCAGTGCAGCGATGCAGGTCATCCCCTCCCAGGATCACGTCCCTATGCTTTATGCTACTCCGAGGCCTTTCAGTGCTTTGGCTCTGTAGTGGATCACGCCAATAGCTGGAATCATTTTTCCCTTTATATAACAAGGTTGCTGTCTTAGCCATTATATTTTCTAGTGGATCAGAGGGTTTTCTTCCTTTGTACTTGATTCCATCCCCAGCTGCTGGAAAACAGGACAGTCAGCACCAAAGTCAGTGGAGCTATTTTATGCATGCCGGAATTAGGCCCTTTTGTATTACCAACCCCAAATATCCAGGTACCATGTGGTGTGAATAAGAAGGGTCTATTTTCTTTTGCCATCAGAGTCTTAAGCTCTTTAATGGTCATGTTTGTAAGCTTTTATCCACAGCCCCAGGGGCTGGGAGCTGATTTCGGGTGGGATTCTTGCTTAAGTCCAGGCTGTCGAGAGCTGCGGGTGGCACTCTACATAGTGTGCTGATATTATGAGAGTTGATAATACCTGGATCCGGACCACTGAGAGAGCAAGAGGCAGTTGAAAGCAAATGAGATGGTAGCTCACCAGGACTGTGCGCGGAGCTCGTGGAATTTGCTGTCGTTCGTATGGTAAAGGGAGACATGGGGAAAGAACAGGGATAATGGAGTGAGTGTTTCTGCAAGGGGGCTGTTCCCTAAACGGGTCCATGTGACTCCCCCGCCCACACTTCCACACCAAAATAGAGAAACAGGCAGAGGAAGAGAACTGGTGGCAGTCAGTTTGTTCTCCCTGGTTCTGAGTAAAGGAGGGGAAGCCAGTGGCTGGCTCTTCTTCCTCCTGCGGTGGGACGAGAGCACTGCCAGGCACCGTCTCCTCTTGCTGGGATCCTCCATCTCCAGCCTTGATGACTCTTTGCTTCATTTGCAAACAGTCTCCATTGCAGTTACCCCCATGTGATTGGCACCCAGGTCTCAGCCTGGGCCAGGGTCTGAGCAAAGCTTTCCCTATGCGACTGTGTCCATCTGCATTTCCACCCATCTGTGCCCCGGCAGAGGTATGTACCCTGCTTCTTTTGCTACCCACTCTCACTGCGAGCTTTGAGTAGGGCACAGAGGGCTGTCTGCTTTCCAGTCTTGCATAAACAGCCCCAGGTCCAATCTGTAGCCCCAAAAGGATAAACCAAGCCAGCTTACAGCCCTTCCAAACCCAAAACCGAGGTTTTTTTGCATGATGGTAGATTCTGTGGGCCAAAGCTTGGGTTAATTGATTTACATGCTCTGGGTGGAGGCAGAGGAGGGAGGTGAGCCATGCAATGCCTGGTTCTGGAAATGCTTGAAGTGTTAAGAGCCAAGCAAAGAGAAGAATGTCCCTCCAGCAGGAAATCTGTTTGCTTTCATCCCACAGCTGGATGAAAGGCTGCCATGCCCAAACCTTGCAGACTCCCAAAGAAAGTTGCATTCTGTGACTGAGCAAGGTTGATGTTTTTTGGATCCAAAGGGAATCTCCTGACCTGCCCTGAAGCACGAATTGTGGTGCCTTGGACACTAAATTACATCTGCCCATGGGTGCTGAAATGCCCCCGGGGGTTGCAGTCCCAGTACCTCAAGCCCTCTGTACTCACAGTGAAGTCAGCTCTCTATTTGAAGGTCACTTGCTATGATGCACCCCAGCTGTGTTACTCCCATAATGCATCAGTTGGGTCCATCAGCAGTGCATTATGGGAGAAGTGATCCAGGTCATAGGGGAGAACAGGTCTTATGAAGCTTTCCAGCAGTGACCTCATAAGATATCATAGTGTCCAGTTGCACTTTGACATCAGGCTGATTTAACACCCCATCTGGGTTTCCCCCAGTAAAAAATGAATCATCACAGAAAACCCCCAGATCTATCATAAACCTTCAATTTTGCAGAAACTGCATTTTTGGCCAGGTTGATTTTGATTGAAAACTCCAGGCCAGCAGTGCCAAACACCTTGAGAAACACGACCTTTACAACCCAGTCAGAGCGAGGAAGGGCCAGACTTGAGCTCCAGCTGCTTCTCTGCAGGTCTAGCCTTGGCCCCTGGGTCCAATCAAGTCCTGAGGCCTGAACATTTGAATCATGGGCTTACACTGAATCTCCTGCTTCCTCCAGGTGTAAAGAAGTCTGTCTGCTTGTTCAGTCCCTGTTAAAGAAGCTGCTACCAAGTTAGCTTCTTAGGACAATAGTGAGCCCTTAGGGGAAGATTTCCATTGCCTTCTTAGTGATAACTGATTTATTATGGGCCTGACTCTGCTATTGCCTGGGAAGATCTGAGCATGGCAGCTTGGAGATTGGGCTTTTGACTTTGTGGATGCTTCTGTGGATGTCCTGCACTTTAAAAAAGAAAAAAAGAAGTCTGATATACAAGGAGTTACCTGCACAAAGGGCCTCGACTGAGGCCGTGGTGGAGCTGTTGCTGACGGGGTTGTGCACTGTGCACGTGACGTTTACTGGAAGATCTGGGTGAGAGATGACCACGGTGGATCCTCGAGCAGTCGTATTGGGGGGCTGTGGGGGGATCCAGCTGTAGGTCACGTTGTCGCCTCTGCTGGGGACGGTGCAGCTCAGGGTGATGTTACAGAGCTCATTCGCACAGCTCTGGGCATCGCAGTGAATCGTGGGCTGGGGCAGCCGCTCTGCAGGGAGAGGGAAGGAACCGAAATGGGAGGATACAGGTGTGAATTGAAGAAAACAGCACCCTGCCGTCCCGCCAGCATCTCCCTGAGACCCTCCCGGGAGAGCAGAGTCCCTGAGAGCACCAGGTGACAGCAGACAAGAGCGAGGCCTCTCAGCCCCCCTCAGGCGATGCTGGATGGGCCCTGTAGGAGCCCCTGGGGGTGGAAGACCCCCGCAGGGACGTGTGCGGTGTGAGATGCCCCTGAGGACCGAGATGTCTGTGCAGGGCTCCTTGCTCACAAATATCCACACTCGTGAGCTCTTAGATGGGAGGGGACAAGGGCACTGCACAAGGCGCATTTACTCCGGCCGCAGCTGTAAGACCCAGAGCCCGGATCTGCCCGGTGCCCCCGCTCGGCTGAGGTGTGGGTGCGGCAGAGACTGCTCCCCCGGAGCGGGCACAAGCCCGAGCGCTCGTCCTGCCCCTTCCACGGAGCGGGGTTCACTTCCCTGCGGGGTATCCATCCCCATCCCTGTGCCCGTCCAGACAGGCAGAATAACCAGGCTGCTGCATTTCAACCGCAGGGGAGAGAGAGACACGGAGACTCCGCGGGCAAAGACTGTTTCACTCTGACACTGTCAAGTTACCTTTGGTAGAGATAAAAGAGCAAACGAAGACACAAAACCCAGCACTCACCGTAGACCCGCAGTGTGAAGACCCGGGTAAACTGGGTCTTATCCATGCTGACTGTAGCTGTGTAGGAGCCACCGTCCTCCGGCCTCAGGTCCGTGATTTGCAGCGAGAGGCCGTTGTTGGGGACACGCAGGCGGCCCCTATAGCGCCTGTCTGACACAACCACGCTCGGGGGGTCTCCTGGTACCACAATTGCTAGACTCCTTGTGCCAATCGTCCAGCCAATGTTATCCAATGTCTCCCCCGCCGGGATGTCGAGAGGAAACGTGACCGTGTCCCCCAGGGTCCTGACCAGCTCTGTCAGGGCTGTCTTTGAACCTGCTCCCCACCATCCTGCACCTTGAAAAGGAACAAAGTAGCATTTAGGATGACTGAGGTCAACCCCATCACAGACAAAAGCATTTCCTCAACCCAAACCTGGTGAAACCTGCCCCAGAGACCACGAGCAACATTTTATTCCTTCTCCTCGCAACAGAGCATCCTCTCTGAACTCCTTCCATGCACATACAACTCCTTACTGTGCTACATGTGATGTGATGTAGGATTGGTTATTAACTTCTATTATTGCAATGCCAAGCATTGTGGCCCCCGGTCTGCTAGAGCCCTGCCCCAGAGCTTTTGCAATCCAAGTATAAGACAAGAGGCAAGGACAAGGCGGCAGCAGGACCTTGATCAGTGGTGTGGGCAGCCGTGACGGCATGTCGGCAGCCTGAGAGTTTCACTGGCATCAGGGTGAAGGCAGGCAGCAAGGAGGGATGTGAAAGGGTGTGTTTGTGGGTGTTTAGGGGAGCAGCTTCGAAGTGTCAGAGCAGCAGCTTGAATATTTGCCAAGTGATGCTAGAATCTGGCATTATGGGTTGCTTAAAGTTGGACCCAGCCCTTCAAACTGGAACGAGGGCGGATGGACAGGTGGAGCAGGTACTCTCCTAATGCACTACTACCTCTTTCCCTCCATGCCCCTGTCTCCTCAAAAGCTTCCCTCTTCCTCAACACCTCTTTAGAGCCTGGAGCACATTTTCTGCAGTCCTGGTCGCTGAGGGTTCGTAGGCGAGCAGGGACACACCTCACATTGCATTGGGAAACAGACGGTGAACATATAAAGGTCTAGCAAAGTGGTCAGATGGGAACATAGGCAGACAAGGTCCTTTGGAGAAATGTGATGTCTTGTATTGGTCCAACTACACGTTTGGAAAAATTGTTCTTTGCAAGCTTTCAGGTACAAACACCCTTCTTCAGGCAAAGGGAAAGTTTGTAGTTGTATTGTGCTCTTGTGGATGGGATGGAGACTATTGCCAGATGGGAACGGGCATTTTGCAATTAGAGCAAGAAGCCTGGAGCCTCGGGCACTCCAGATGACCTGGGAGGGGATTGTGGACCCCTGGGGCATGATACAAGCCTGGGCACTGCCAGGAACTGGGCTAGATTCCCCAGTCTGCCAAGTTCACTTCCGTGCTGTGCCCATGGGAACCACAGAAACCCCTTGGAGAAGCCCCCCTGAATTGGGCAAATCCCTGCTGGTACCAAGTTGCAGATGGCTCTCATCTTTGCTGCACCAGCAGTGGGAGAGGTGGGACAAGCCAGGGCTGGAGGTGGGTCAGGGGGAGGTGAGGAGGCATGTCAAGGGAGGACAGAGGGTAGAGCAAGGCTCTGCCGTGCCCACTGCCCTGGGCAGCTTTATCCTCCCCTCACTCTGACTGCTTTAAAATCTGGGATCAGCCCCTAGCCAGCCCCTGCCCCTACTCCAGATGAATCCCCATGAAGTCTTCCAGATGTGAGAGGCAAGCAGATCTCCTGGTGAGGATGAATGACCTGTTGCCTCTGTTCTCAATACACACGTAGTAACACACTGGCATTGCAAAACTCTTAAATTGTCTTCAGAGCTGCACAGGAGATAGCCAAGAGTCCAAAACTTCCTGTGGTCTCTGCACATTTTGATGAGAAACTGCAGATTATAACCTCTCATGGGAGTGGCTAACAAGAAAACCCACATAGTCTGCTTTTCAGCGAAGACAAATATGTTTGATCTCCTGTGCTTTTATCATGTGGGTCATAAACCCTGCCATAACTGGAAATATGAGACTGAACCCTTTTCTTCTCTACCTGCTTGTAGCTTCTGCAGTTCTGCAAGCTGTAAACAGATGGTTGTTAACAGTAGCAATTGCTCCCAGCGTCTGGTCACAGGGGTATTCTCATAGTAAGATGCTTTATGAACAAAAGGTATCAGCATCCATCCAGCTGGTTATGTCAGTGCAATGGTCCTGGTCCTGAATGGTTTGCTAAGATCAGAGGCAAAGTTATTTCATGCCTTGCCCTCTCCCTTCTGCATCCATCTCACCTTCTCGTTCCCTACCTGCACTTAGGAGTTTGATGGTTATTCACAGCAGGAGCGATCATTCAGATCAGATCTCAGATTAACTTAGACCCTGTGTCTTGCAGGGGTGGATATGAAAATAAGAGGGTGGGAAGTCAGAGCCTGGTTTTCCCCTGTTTCACACCAAGCCTGATGGGTAGCCTGAAACCTTCCTGCTTTGCATCTATTTTGTTAAGGGGAATGGAGCAACTTCTCTGCAGAGAAGCAGGAACAGGAACTAATCCTCAGCATTTCTGCTGAAACAGGTGAGAGACCTCCCTGGGAGAAACACCAGAGAAGTGGTCCTGGTGAGAAAACCCAGGGTGATAGAGGCCACAGCTAAGTCCTTGCTCTGGCTATTTCCTATACAAAGCACGAGTGCACAGGCCAGAGAGTTGTAGAGGTATAAGACGACCCTAGAAACATCCCTGCCAATAAATACTGGCGCAAAGGCTTTTGTCTCCATCCCTTGGGTACAAACTCTCCTTTGCCTGGTCTGCTTGGAGCCTAAAGTCTTCAGGGTAGATGTCTTTGTGAGATCTGAGCAGAGTACTAGTGCTCGTGGGATGCAGATAAATGCCTTCAACCATCACAGGAGGCATCAGTCGGTGCTGATGTCATCAAGCCCTGATGTGATGTCATGGTGCAGTGATTCCCCATGTAATGGCAGGGCCTCTGGACTAGCATTTTGAGCAAATTAAGGGCAAGTGGATGCTAATGATGATGTGACTGGAGTCAGAGGGAAAAGATGGAAGTTTTGATCCTGCCCTGACTTCCACCTTGGATGAAGCACAACCCTTTGTCCTCAGACACGTTTAGGTGCCCAAATACCTGTGGGCATTGGGGTTTGCGTGACAGCAATGTGCTAGCATGCCTTATTCACCAGCGTGGCTCTGCTGACACCTGCCCCCCTCACCCACGTGTTATGCCTGTTTCACACTTCATACCTATAAATGACAACCCAAAGCGGGGTGGAAAATTGAGCTCAGATGAGAAATAACTCCTTACACCCGCAAGAAATAACTTGCAGGTGTAAGGAGCAGTGGTCACCACTAAGGGCGGTGAGCAGTCAGTGTTGCGTCCCGAAGAACGTCAGCATCAGCCTCTTAGGAAAAAGAAAGGCAGCGTGTGTACCCTGACTACGATGGTTTTCCTTCCTCTTCGGCTATGACGACAGCTCTTCCTTTTCTATCGGACTTTCTGGAACTGCACAAAGCTTCCATGGGGGTTGCACCCACAGCCTTGTCCATGACTCAGGTGGAGCTATGCTCACCCTCCGGGGCTGCATCCGGCTGGAACCACTGTTGAGTCCCTCTCTGCTTTCAAATGGTATCATTGCTGAGCCTGTCCATGGCTTCAGGGATCTCCATCCCTTAAGGCAGCAGTTAAAGCCCCTCAGTTCCCATAGAGCCCAGTAGCTGCCATGGGGCAGTATGACATGAGGCCACAATTTGGATGGGAGCATTAATACCATACCAGGTATGGTTAGGAAGATGAAGCCAGAATGCTTTGGAGGAGGACACTGGCCCATGGACAGCCCAGGTCATAGGACAGATCTGGCAGGGCAGCAGGGCCGGGTGCCCCTTTAGGGACTGACTGGGTCAGCAAAGGGCTCAGACGGGAGAAAGTGTACAATATATAACTGTATAACTACATGTACACCACACAACTGGACAACTATATATACACTGTACAACTATATAATATCTGTGCCTTCTGCAGACCCAATCCCCCTTCCTCTGGTGTCAGGGACAGCCTCTCCACTGGACTGGCTGCACAGGCAGTGGCTCAGGCCTGCTGGTCAATCTGCGATAAGTGCTGTAGCAGACCACAGGCTGTGGCAGGGTTTCCGTAGAAGGAACAAGTTGCTATATTAATACACGGTTCTTCCCCTGAGAATTTTCTGTGAAAATGTTCTTCAAATGTGGCAGCATACAGACATGTATTCTAGCCCTCCTCTGCTCTGAAACCCACCACATTTGAAGATATCCAGACAGCTGCAGTCCCTACAACGGCAAACTCATTGTTTCTGTGACAGCCACGCCATCCAGTATAATTCAACGGGGAAAGCCCTAAACCTTGTCCCCTCTTGCAGAAAGCAAAAAAAGCTAAAATATCTCCCCCACCCCCTCCCATGGTCAAAACTCATCAGCCAGACACTTCTGGAAACAATTATATATATATCTATATATAGATATAGATAGATAGATAGATATAGATATAGATAGATGGATCTATTGATTATATCGATTTATATCTATCTAGATATTTTAAATAAATATAAAACCTGGCTTACATATGTATGTATATGTGTGTGTGTGTACACACACACACACACACACACACACACACACACACATACATAAGCCAGCTTTGCGACTGAATTCCATGCCTGACTTAGTGACCTATTTGTCTCAATTCCTGGTCCGTGATGCAGGGCCAACAATGCCGCAGATTCCCAGATCACAGATTCTGTAATAGGTGAATATTTTAGGCACAAGGTGATCAGAGCAGCCTGGTGTACAAGGGATATATTTCCAAAAGTTTTGTCAGGATGATGCTACATAAATTACCTAATGGCTTAACAGCAGCCTGTATAATGAACTCAGTCAATAATAGCAATCAAAAATCAATCATCTGCTGCCGCAGGATATAGTTGATGCCTCTCATTAATAATCTAGGGTTGGGCTAGGTCCTGGCACTGGCTGTAGCCTCGCACAATCCACACCCCTGGCAAACTCCAAATTAAAAAGCAGGTTGGATTTTTGCCCATGTGCCCGTTCCAGAACCCTGCTCCTCTCAGAGAAGCCACCTGCTAATTTCCAGCCAAATTTATTCACAACCACTTTATGCCCCTTTCCAGCCCCAACTGCATCATCCCAGTCAAAGATATGTCTAGCTGGGCCTTAAAAACCTCCAGGGATGGGGATGCCACCACCTCTCTAGGTAGCCTGTTCCAGTGCTTCACCATCCTCTTAGTGAGAGTTTTTCCCTAATATCCAACCTCAATTTTCCTTGCTGCAATGTGAGCCCATTGCTCCTTGTTCTGTCATCTGCCCCCACTGAGATCAGTCCAGCTCCATCCTCTTTGAAGACACCCTGCAGGGAGTTGAAGGCTGCTATGAAATCCCCCCTCAGTCTCCTCTTCTCCAGACTAATTAAACTCAGTTCTCTCAGCCTCTCCTCACAAGACATATGCGTCAGCCCCACTAACTATTTTCCTTGCCCTCTGCTGGAGTCTCTCCAACGTGTCCACATCCTTTCTGCAGTGGAGGCACAAAACTGGACACGGGACTCTAGATGTTGCCTTCCCAGTGCTAATAGAGGGGGAGAATCACTTTTCTTTATCTGCTGGCAACGCTCCTACCAATGCAGCCGAGGACACTGTTAGTCTTTGCAACAAGGGCTCACTGCTGGCTCCTATTCAGCTTCTTGTCCACTGTCAACCCCAGGTCCCTTTCTGCAGAGTTGTTACCCAGCCAGTTGGCCCCCAGCCTGTCCCAGTGCATGGGATTGTTTTATCCCAAGCAAAATTTCATGCAATTGGCTTAGTGGGGCCAATTGACGTTGTAGTCCAAACCCGCTCCGTGGAGAGGTGAAGTACTTGCTGGAAGGGAGGTTTGTCATCCAATACAGGCAACACTGAGCTGTCTGCCCAGGGTTGTCCAGCCCAGATCAGTGCCAATTAACCATGTAAAATACACTGGAAAGAAAAACCTCTCCCATCCCCTTGAGCTCCATGCTTACCTGCTATGCATAACAGAAAGCCAAACCAGAAATGTCGGCACAGCTCCATTGCTGCACGCTCTGTGCTGTGTGCTTGTAGTTCTCACTTCCTCCCACCACAGTATCATGAATAGTCATAGAGCTATGACATTTAGGTCTCCTCCCACAAATACTACCCTCACCTTTTAGTTTACACACATCCCATCCATCGCCCCACCAAGGCCCGGGACCTACTGGTCAACCTCCTCCTGGCGCTGGCCAAGCTTGTCATCTGGTGGTCCAGGAAGGAGGCTCTGGCCGGGAAGGCTCCTGGAGACCTCGGGGCGTTTTTCCTCGGTGTCCTTCATGCGCGTCTCCCAGCGGAGTACCACTGAGCAGTAGCCGCTGGCGAGCTCCCTCAGTTTGCGAGCTGGTGGGCGCTGTCCAGGGTGCTCTGCTCGGTGTCCCCCGGGGGAGCACT